GGCACTTTTGGATTTCTTCATCAGAGCAGCTCTGTGATTCATTATCTGTTCTAAAAAGCGGCACATGCAGTTCCAGGAAAGGGAGAGCGGAAATACTGCGGAGCCCAAGTTTGGGCTCCCCTGGCTTTGCCTCTCCTTCCCTCCATCTGGCCAAAAGCCAGGCTGTTTTTCGGCAGCTGCTCCTGTTTCTAGATGGATACTCCCATACCCACCCCCTGCTATTATGATGGAATTGGGGGTCTGGCGTGGCACCAGGATTGGACGACCACAGCTGTGGCTTAATCTCCAGGGCGTGGAGTCTCCAGAGATGCTGCACGGCTCAAGGTCAAGAAATCCACCTCTGCTCCATCTTGGCAGGCCGCAGCACTCCCAATCACAGCTCTTCCCTGAGCACTCAGACTCTTCCGCAGGTAAACCATGAATGTGAGCCTCCTTCGGAGAGGGTGGAGGGAGGGAAGACTAGCGCCCAAACAGACAGATAGGAAAGACGTAACAACTAAGGCGCTGAAGGAAATTATCTAGGCCACAAAGGGCAGGGTGATGCTGTGACTGGCTAGAAACAGCCACGCAGATGTGGATCAATCTTAAGAAAAACTCGAATGGGATCCAGGAAAGGGATCAAGTGTGAGGAGTAGCCAAAGAAAATTCTGCCCCTCAGAGAAAACCTCAGTGCTTTGAGCAGAGGCAATAGTTTTCTTTTACCTCAGAGAAAGCAAGTTTCCAGCAGCTGCCCTGCCCCAAGACTGGAGACATTGAATAGATCAAAGAACAAGCAGGTGGGGACACATGGTGTTTGGCACGTCCCCGAGTTCTAGAAAAACTGAGAGGAGCCTTGCCTTGGCATCCAGTGCAATGACGGGCTCGGGCAGCCTGGCAGAGGCTCGGGTCATAGGGAGAAAGCAGAGGGCAACCAGGTCTGCGTTGGTGCTGAATGGGTAGAAAAGGGGAAGATGAGTCTTACTTCATTCTGTAAGTTAGGGATGTGGCTTTTCACATAGGCATGGGGGCCTCTTGTGACCAGGTCCCAGAAAACTTTATTATATAAAATAAGATTTATCAAGAAATGTCACAGGCCTACTTTGTCCAAGAAATGTCGCTAGACCCTTAAGAGAATTACCTGCGGATGATGCTCAGTGGTAGTGACAGGGATCGGTCCTTCTTCTGGCAGCTCTCAAAAGCTGATAGCCAATACTGTCTCACCTGCCTAGAAGCGGGCAGTATCCAGTGGCGGGGGGCCGCTGCAGATCAGGAAAGCAGGGGAGAGGGAGAGGCCCTTTTAGGAATGCAGTCCCAGGAGGCTTCTCCCTCCCTGCTTGTGAGATTCCAAAGGTCTGAGATAAACCCCAGGATATAGTCCAGCAAAGATGCTTTGGGCTATGTTCCTCTGAGAGAGCGCTAGAGAAGGGTTTTATTTTTAAACCCCTCATTCCTTTTGGGGGAAGGGGTGGTGGCAGGCGTTGGGAAAAACCATGTTTGGATCAGGAAGGAGATATTCTACTAGATGCGTGTATCCTTTTACACGTTTTGCTCTCACATACTCTCTTCTCTATTGTACCCTCAAGATCTGTTACTGAAAAACTCCAAGGACATGAGTTAAGATCACAATGATTCCTAACATCAAGTCTACTTCTACTGTATTTTTCCTCCCATGGCTTTCCACTGAGTAGAATTTTAAATGTGAATAATGGTTCAAAGGCTGAGAAACAAACTGCTCATTACTGGAAAGAGTGCCAGGAATCCTGAGAAGCAGACCTCACTGCCACCGGAGTTCGGCACCTAATAGTAATGGCTTCTTTCATAGTCACGGGAGGGTTGGATCGCTTTCTTTTCATTCTCGTCTTCTTTCAGTAACTGCTGGGATAAAAGCGAGCTTAGAAGAATAAAAAATTCACAAACAGGACAAGAATATTTAGGGCAAGAGATCAGAAGTTCTTTGGTTATTCAGTGAACTGAACTAACTCTACTTAAAAAAAGTACAAGGAAATAAATGTCCATCAAACTCCATATCACAGTAGGTATTAGCCTTTCGACCCCATCTCACAGGCTCTAAGCTGAGTTGTTCTACCTAGCAAGTTGAGGTAAGAGATTCAATGATAAAAAAAAAAAGAGCAGTTTTGTCATTATTGATTCCATTCCCAATATTTACTAGGTCTTTAAGTTTGAGATTTTTACCAATGTTGCTAAATAGCCCATTCCCTCCCACTTCTCATCCCCAAATCCAATTAGTGATAAATGATAGGGATGGAGAGGTTATTATTACTCTACTAGGTACCTTAGGGAAAAGCACTTTTTAAACAACTGGTTTTTATGGGTCATATATACATATATATATTCCCCCAGACCACAGCTAAGCTTACTTTGATCAAAAGAAAAGGTCCCTCCCAGAGTGATCAAGAAGTGGCTAGGTATTAAAACTATTGGTTCATTTGTAGTCACAGTGAATCTGATTTAGTTGTGTGATAACCTCATCCTGCCACTGGGAAGGCTCTTTTCCAGTACCTATCAATTAACATGGCTTAAGAAACATTCTATGCCCTAGCAATTCAGGCTAGAAATAACTCTGTGGGCTTTTTTTTCTTTACTCACCCACAGAAAGCATTTGTATGTCAACAAGATCTTTGCTCCTTGAGTGTTTTCACTCCTGCTTACTCTTCGCTGAAAATAGAGTTGCTTGATATAATTAGGAAAGTCAGAGTTGGTGTGAGACATACAGAACAGCAAAACCATGCTGATGCAACTAAGCTTTCTAACTGCCAACTGTCCAAAGAATAAATGAACCCAGCATTCAGATAGATTTAAAATAGATTCCTCCTTACTACTTTTCTTACAAATAATACACAATTCTTTGACAGTAATGTACCTGGTTTATACACAAAATTCACTTCTAAGTTAACAAAGATAACTAAAACACTGAGTTGCTATGTATGCTCAAAAGTAAGAACTTTTGGGGCATTTGGAAAAACTGAGGCAGAAAGAGATGAAGGAATGTGGCTAGAGTTCCTCAGCTAATAAGTGGCAGAACCAAGATCCAAAACCAGAAGTCTCACTCAAGAGCCCAAGCTTTAACCATTGCACTACACTGCTTCTGCAACAATTCTGCAACAAAGCCAATAATGATCTTTTCAGATTTCCTTCAAAGCTGGATCTTCCTATCAAATATGTCCACTTAGGTTCTCTAAATTAAGCAGAAACATGGTCCCATGGTTTCTCTTAATGTGAAAACCATGAACAGGAACTCCATTCTTACCCAAAACATATCAACTCTCCTAAACACACCAGTGTTATCCCCTTTCAAATATAAAGATGCACTGAGACGGCTGTTCAAGCATAATTGCTTTCTAGCAACAGGAAACATTTGCAAAATTAAGGCCCTGGACCCTTTCTTCAGTTTAAGCAGTCAACACTCAATGGATCTCTTGTGGCTAGAACCGAACTTAAACAGCTAATCTCTTAAAGAAATCCATGTCAATTTTAGTAAGATCGTGATTAGATAAGGTTTAATTCTATGAATATATTGTTATGGTGATGGAGCATAAAGCCAAAAGTTCCTTATGCTTAATGAATCACTAATAGAGTTGCAAAAAATCAAAGCACTGGCTTACTTATCTATGACACAAGTTCACATAATCAAGACTTTAAGGGGGTACCTGGGTGGCTCAGTCACTTAAGTATCTGACTTCAGCTCAGGTCATGATCTCGCAGTCTGTGGGTTCAAGCCCTGCATCAGGCTCTGTGCTCACAGCTCAGAGCCTAGAGCCTGTTTCAGATTCTGTGTCTCCCTCTCTCTCTGCCCCTCCCCAGCTCATGCTCTTTCTGTCTCAAAAATAAACGTTAAAAAAAAAAACAAGACTTTTGAAATACCAAAGCACCATTCATTTGCTCCTTCTGTTCAAAGGCTATATATATATATTTTTTTAATTTCTGAGAGAGAGAGAAAGCGTGAGCAGGGGAGGGTCAGAGAGAGGGAGACACAGAATCCGAAACTGGCTCCAGGCTCTGAGCTAGCTGTCAGCAGAGAGCCTGATCCGGGGCTCGAACCTATGAACATCGAGATCATGACCTGAGCTACAGCCAGTCACTTAACCGACTGAGCCACCCAGGCACCCCATAAAGGCTATAACCTTTACTTAATAGCTTTGTCTCATCTTTCCTCAATTTGTCCCATCTCTTAGTCATTTATAAGCTGTTATAGACCAATACCAGTTTTTAAAGTACTAGCAACAATATTTTAAAATAGTGTGCTAATTGATTTGCTTCTGAAATAGTGAATAGTTGCCTCCGACAAAAAGCTCTCTTAAAATGCAGTAGAGTGAAACCAACTGATGACATAGCTGTCATCACCTAAGTGTTTACCATGACCCAAAGACTGAGCAAATCAGAAGTTTTGCTAAGTTGAATTTGCCTAGCCCTCCTTCCTTACCTAGTTTGACACAAGCAATTTCCTTTCACTTTCTACAGATAAATCAATAAAAGAAAAAAAAAAAACATTGAAAACTCCATCCTGACATCCACCGGAATGCAGAGGATCAGACCAACTGGTCAGGTCAGCCTCAATTAGCAGCCCTCAAGTGTCAGGTTTTGTTTTGTTTTTTCCAATAACAAAGCTGAAGCTAGCCTGTTATATAGTTTAACAGGATACTAAAGGGATGTTTTTGTAAAAACATTTGCAAAGGGGAAGGGCTTCAAAAGTTGACATTAAAGTTAATATTAGACACCATCAGACTGAGCTCAGAAAATCAAATTGGTCTAAACTGACTTTAAAAAAGGCAGTTGTAGGGACAGGGTTCAAGAAAATGGCTGGCCACTGATATTAATGGCCACTAATAGCAGTCCTCCAATCTAGGAGAGAAACCTTCAACATACGAAGTCAGCAAACAATGTCTCCAGTCTGTGCATGACTGATATTAAGGAACCACAGTTTTCCAGCTAGGACCATAGTCACCCCCCTCCCCCTTCTCTCCCATCCCAGACAGATGATTACAGACAAGGAGGCAATTAAGTTGCTTCAAAATATTTAATACGTGTTAGACACGTAAAGTTACATTTTTATACAAAAATCAATACAACGAAGGAGAAAATACTGTACAAAAACCTTGTCAGCTCCCCCAACCTTTATACAACAAAGACTGGAGTCACCGTATCTACAAAACCATAAGGTCTTTCCACTTAGGGCTTCTGTCTGTAAACTCTGTTTCATTAAACACTTTTTAAAAGCACTGTGTAGTAGTTCTGATCTAGAGCTTTTAAAAATAGATATATTCTCTATAAACTCCGTATTTCCAAGCTTGAACTCTTCTGTGAAGTTCATCAAGCTTTTTTTTTTTCCCCCCTCTTTCCCTGTGGGGAAGACAAGAGCCGCTCAGATTCCCTTTTCCCAGAGTAATCACAGGGTACGGAAGTTTCTTCAGGGAGACAGAAAGGTGGGGAGAGCGAAATAATACAGGTCTCTGCTCCAGACTAAATCCCTCTAGTCTTAGGAAATCCTGTGAGGAAATGCCACTCCCGGCCCCGGTGCGGGGCTAGCTTTCATGTGAGGGGCGTGTGTAAAGTCCCTTCCGCCCCCGAGCACGAAAGGGGAACTCCCCAGCCCCGGCCTTCTCCGCCGCTTCCTTCTCGCTGCTGCCGGCGGAGGAAAGTCCCCGTCTGCCCCCGATCTCCTCAGCCCTGGGAAAGGGGTGGTGCATTCCAGAAGGACAAAATGGTCTTAATTCAACAAGACAGACGTACGTACACAGACAGAACACTACACACAAAAGTTAACGATCGTCCTCTTCCGACGAGCCTCCAGGGGGGGAAGGCCGTCGAGCCCGAGGGCAGTCAGTGCTGCCCGGCGGCACCCACGGTCCCCGCAACGCGCCCAGCGCCTGCGGTCTCCGGGCCGTCCTCGCGGCCCCACGTCGGGGCCCCCCGCCGCTCAACCTCCTTCCGAACGGGACCCGGGGGCTCAGAAGGCCACGATGGCTGTGCTCCAAGGGTTAATGTCTCTCAGCACCGGCTTATCGCAGCAGATCTGCCCGGGCTCGGCGGCTTCCGGACCGCTCTCCTCTCCCTCGGCTTCCTCCCGGCCGCCCCCGGGGCTTTTCCGCAAGAGTCCCGAGAAGCTGGAACCGAAGATGCTAATGAGGTTAGCCACGTTACCGGTCTCCATCTCCTCCTCCTCCTCCTCCGTCGCCGCCCCGCCCGGCTGCTCCTCCGAGTTCCGGCGCGGCTTCTTCAGCGGGCTCGAGCCGGGCGCCGGGCCGCCCGCGGGGCCGCCACCCACGCCCGCCGCGCCGCGCTTCCGGGGGCCGACGGCTGGCGGTGCCGGGGGCTCGTCCTCGGCCGGCCGCGGCGCGCAGCGGCAGTCAACTCGGGGGCAGGCGCCCGGTGCCCCCGGCCGGTCCTCCCCTGCTGGCGGGCAGCCGCAGCGGCGGCGCGCCCCGCGGGGCCCCTCGGGGCAGCGGTCCGCGGCTCCCGCGACGACCCCGGCTCCTCCCTCCGTCGCCGCGCGCGGTCCCTCCACGCGGCGCCAGGCAGCTTCCGCCTCCTCCGCCTCTCCGGCGCGGAGAGCGTCCCCGGCGCCCGGCCGCGGGGCCGCGGGCTCCGCGGCGCCCACCCGCGGCGGGGCCGGGCCGGCCGGGCGCTCCGGCTGCGGCTCGGTCTCAGGCCAGGAGGCGCGGGCGGCCGGCGGGGGCGGCTCCCCCCAGCCCGCGGGAGGCCCGGCCGCCGGCTCCCCGAGCTGCTGCGGCGGCGCCGCCGCCAGGCTCCCCGCGGGTCCGGCCAGGTAGAGGCCCGGGCACGGGTCACTCAGGTAGACCTGGCGGGCGCTGCGCAGGACCAGCGAGACCAGCAGGTTCTTGTGCAGTTTGATGCCTCCGCGCTGGACCCGCGAGTTGTAGATCTTGCCCAAGGAGATGCTGACGATACGATGCGCCTCCAGTTTGAACTCCATCCTGCCTTCCTTTCTTTCGCAGGGCTGCCTCGGACGTGAGGGGAGAGAGCCCGACTCCCGTTCGGAAGCTGGGAGGGGACGAGAGGCGTCGACAAGTTCGGTCCGGGGGCGGACCTTCGATACCTGAAGACTCCTGACGAGAAATGACTCCGCTGACGCGCTCACTGGCTCCCGTTCGTACTCCCCAAGACCGTAGCCCACTCCCAGAGCCGGTCGCTAACTGAAGGCGGCCCGCACGCCCGGCGCCTTATATATGCCCCTTGCCCGCCAATCGCGATGGGCCGCCAACCGTTCCGGGGCTGGGCGGTGCGCCCTCGTGCGCCGCGCGCAGCCAATCGGAGGCCGAGGTGGGGCGCCTGGGCCATTCGAACGTTAGTCCCGCGGAGCGGGCTCTTAAAGGGGGCGACGACGTGCGGCGGTGGCCGGAGGGACGGGTCAGGGCTTGTTCTCCGCCCGCGGGCGACCGAGCGGAGGCTTAGCCACGCTGTGGTTTGTAGTTAAAGATTCTGGCTTGTGCGCTGGCTTGCCAGAACCAGAGGGAAATAAGCCACTGGAACTTTCATCTGAGCACTCCCCTCCCCGCCCCCCCCCCAAAAACAAATAGTATTACCACAAGGTATTTAGCAGATACTGGTTTGGGATGAGTGCCTTGCGACCCTAGAATCACACACACTCTTAGCATCTGTTAATTCTAAGAAAGAAAAAGAGGGGTCTAAAAGCTACTAAGTTTTTGGCTGCTTATCAAGGATTTGTGACTAGATACGAAGTTATTGGTTCTCTACTAAAGCGATCATCTATCACTTTGTTCTCTATGGAACAAACACACTTGTCACCGGTTACAATGAAAGGTGGTGCGGGTTCTCCACAGTGATTTTTCAACACAAGGACTGACTAGTCCACCCTTGGAAGAGTCTACCAAGTTCTAAAAATAACAAATAGAGAAGTCCTGTGTTCCCATCATGATGTCATAATTTTATTTTGTGTCAAGGTAAAAATACAGGGGAAGACTGTTCCAGACTTTTCTGGTCAGTCAACAACTTAGTCCATCTTACCATCCTTAGTATGTGGCCTTAGGGCAGAATCACTGCAGGATTGTCCAGGACTAGAGTTCAGTTCCTGGATTCCTGGAGAGTCAGTTTGATTTAGTCCATCTAAGCTCCATAGACCTGCCTGATGATTCTGGTACAGAACCTCGGGAGTTCTAGTTTCTCCACCTCTAAAAGGGAGAAAGCACATACACATCTGTCCTATTATGCAGAAGATAACTAAAATATTACTCAGCCATAAAAAAGAATGAAATCTTGCCATTTGCAACTACATGGATAAAGCTAGGGAGTATAATGCTAAGTAAGTCAGTCAGAGAAAGACAAATACCATATGATTTCATTAATAAGTGGAATGTAAGAAACAAAACAAATAAGCAAAGGAAAAAGAAACCAAAAAACAGACTCTATAATTTTTTCTTAAATATTTTTTAAAATATTTATTTTGAGAGAGAGAGCACAAGCAAGGGAAGGACAGAAAGAGTGAGGGGGAGGGAATCTGAAGCAGGCTCCAGGCTCTGAGCTGTCAGCACAGTACTTGATGCAGGGCTGAAACTCATGAGCTGTGACATCATGACCTGAGCTAAAGTCAGATACTCAACCAACTGAGGCACCCAGGTGCACCAATGTTTATTTTTGAGAGAGACACAGACCAAGCACAAGTGGGGGAAGGGCAGAGAGAGAGGGAGACAGAGAATCTAAAGCAGGCTCCAGGCTCTGAGCTGTCAGCCCAGAGCCGGATGTGGGGCTTGAACTCATGAACTGTGAGATCATGAATTGAGCCAAAGTCAGATGCCCAAATGACTAAGCTACCCAGGTGCCTCAAGAAACAGACTTTTAACTATGCAGAACAAACTGATGGTTACCAGAGGAGAAGTGGGGGGAAGGGAGTGATGGGTGAAGTAGGTGATGAGGATTAAGGAGTGCACATGTGTGATGAGCACTGGGTGAGATATGGAATTGTTGAATCATTGTATTGTACACCTGAAACTAAGATAACACTGTTATGTTAACTCTACGGGAATTAAAATAAAATTTTAAAAAATGACAACTCTCAGCCACAGTCTGAATCCTAAAACTGAGCACAGCTTTCTTGGAATCCACATGGAATAGTTGGTCTGATCCTGCCCCAGGGTTTGACTAAGTGGGATATTTGATTAGGAGAAATAGTGAGAGGTGGGCTTGATAATGGTCAATTCACAATCAAGAGGCCTCCAGAAGATGTGATGGCTCAGTAACATTGCCTATGCCACAACTTATTAATGGTAACTGAGGAACCAGTCCCTGAGACCCAGAGCTCCTTCCCTCTAGGAATTTTCAGCTCGCATAAAGGAGATAAAATAATCATGTGAATAATTACAAAAGCAAACCATATATTTTGAGTAATAACATGAAATTTTTTTCTTCTATTTTCTGTTTCTTTGAGAGCTATTAGTCACTTTATTTTTTAAAGTGTTTGTTTATTTTTGAGAGAGAGCTGGGGAGGCACAGAGAGGGAGACACAGAATCCAAAGCAGGCTCCAGGCTCTGAGCTATCAGCACAGAGCCCAATGCAGGGCTCAGACTTATGAACCACAAGATCATGACCTGAGCCAGAGTCTGAAGCTTAACTGACGGAGCCATCCAGACACCCTGACAGCTATTGGTCACTTTAAAACACTTGAGTGCAGGCTTTGAAGGGAAGCTTCCTGAGTCAGAATCCTAGCTCCACTTTTTACTTGCTGTGTGACCTTTGGAAAGTTATTTTGCCTCTCTGTGCTTTGGTCTTTTCTATCTTTTGATTTTTTTTTCCTTTAAATGTTTATTTAGTTTTGAGAGCAAGAGACAGAACATGAGTGGGAGAGGGGCAGAGAGAGAGGGAGACACAGAATCCTAAGCAGGCTCCAGGCTCTCAGCTGTCAGCACAGACGTAGGGCTCAAACCCACAAACTGCGAGATAATGACCCGAGCCAAAGTCAGACACCTAACTGACTGAGCCATGCAGGCGCCCCTAGTCTTTTCCATCTTAAACTAGAGATAATAATAGTCCCCACCTCTTAGAGTTTTTGTGAGGACAAAACAAGGTAACACATGTGAAGCTCTTAGAATAGCCTGGCATATAAGAAATTATCAATGTATGTTAATTAGAAAAATATCACCCCCACACAAGACCTTAGAATGGGAGAAGAGGCTGGGGAGGGAAGACACAGACAAGAGAAAGAAGCTGTACTTGAAGAGACTGTTGAAAAAACCTGAGGTAGGATTCACAAGTTCTAAGCAGCAGGAGGAACAAAGTCTAGTATAGGTAACATATCATTTCCCAGGTGTGTCAGCCACCTATAGTAAGTGGAAACAGCTAGAAACAGAGGCTAGAGCTGCAGGACAGTGGGTCACGAATGCCTCCGTGAGGAGACAGGGCCACAGGGAGCTACCTAAGGTAGTTGAGTAAGAAAACCACAGACTAGATTCTAGAACAGTCAGTACACTTAATTACAACTGAACTATAAAGAGGCTCACTTAATTATAAAGCCCTTGTGAGAGTTCAGGCAAGGGTCCTGAAGGCCTGAACTAGGTGGAGGTAGGAAAAATGAAAAACACAAAAACACAAGATCGGAACTGTAGTTACAACTTGGGATGCCCACCCACCCACCAAGTCACTGATAGAGCAAGCATTAGGGGAAGCCCTCCTGATCCTCAGGAGCCGGAGGTTTCACCATCTGCCACCGCACCTCCTTTCCTTCAGCACTGCTCTCATCACTTGCTTCTGTCATGTTCAGGGCCCCTTTCAAATTGTGCTGTCATCGGAGGCAGGAACTCATCTCATATGTGTAGCCAGAAGATAGTGAAAATATTTAATAAATGTGCAACACAGGCACTAACCACCATAACAGAGGCCTGGAGGCCTTTGCAGTGCTGGGGGTTATGGGGGGTTCCTGCCAGAGGTGCTGAGTGACCCAGGAAGGGGTGTACTCAGGGGCCTGGGGCAGACATTCTGCCACCTGGCATGGAACCATTTCAATATTTTAACAACTGGGGTGGCCACACCTGTGTATACTGAGTGATTATGCATTTGGATGAATGAATTTCTAATCATGTTGTTGTCTACCAGGCACTATGCTAGTCACTTTAGAGCCGTTATTTCTAATGGCTAATCCTTATAAAGTTCAGAAGGTAGATCTCATATCTCTCTTTACAGATAAGGAAACTAGGACTCTGAAAAGTCAAGTAATTTCCCTTAAGTCATGCAGCTGTAGGTGGAGAGGGTGGGATTTAACTCCAAACCTACTTAACTCTAAATCTCGAGCGCAGGGCTCTGGGGCTAGGTTACCTCATTCTACTTCTCACTTGCTATATGACCTTTGGGAAGTTATTTCACATCTAAGTAAAATGAGAAAATCATTCCCTAGTTTTATAACATGGGTGAGTTATTCAACCTTTCTGTGCTTCAGTCGCCTATTGTGTAAAATGGAAATGGTAACAATGTCTAAGGTGCTTAGTATAGCCCCAAGCATCATACAGGTACTTACTAAGTCTACTTACCATTATTGTTAGTATTATACAAGTGCCTAGTTCAGTACCAGGCACATAGTTAGCACTTGCAGAATTTTAAATGCTTTTGCTTTTTCTTTTTTTTTTTAATACTTCCTTATTTTTAAGACAGAGGGAATGAGAACAAGCGGGGGGGGGGGGCAGAGAGAGAGATAGAGAATCCGAAGCAGGCTCTACGTTGGCAGCACAGAGCCCGATGTGGGGCTCAAACCCAAGAACCGGGTGATCATGACCTGAGCTGAAGTCAGACGCTTAACTGACTGAGCCACCCAGGCGCCTAAATGCTTTTTCTACAACACCACATAATAGCTGCTCAGTAAATGTCTACTGACTTGTAACTGAACATGATCACTATTATTATAAGGACTTCCTCTAATCCTGAGACAACAAAACGGAACATTGAGAACTCATGTCTGGAGGGCATGGGCTCATATGCTCAAGCGTTACCTCCACCTGCCAAGAGAGATATAGAACATTTCCTAAGCTTTAGAAAGCAGGTGACTCACAGTTTGTGGGCTAGAGCCTCTACACTAACAGTGCAGAAGCTGCTTGGGATTTTCCCTCTCTCTCTCTCTCTCGCGTTCGTGCTGTCTCTGTCTCTCTCAAAAATAAATAAACTTTTTTTAAAAATAAATTTTTTAACGTGTATTTATTATTGAGAGA